GGGGGGGGGGGGGGGGGAGTAAGTGGGAGGTTGAGTGAAGAATCCATTAATCCAAACCAAATCAATCTATGCATGATAGCTACGCAAAGTATCGATGCTGTAATAGAGTTTTTTTTCTTTTTTGGTTTCCTATTCGGGGTCTGGTACCTGCTTTGGGACCCAACTAATTCAGATTTGTGCCGAAAAGTCCGATTTTTGGGGTAAAATATTGCCTACTAAAGGTGATTTTATACCCAAAGCTCGCACTCAAAATCTCTAACTAAAAATGAAGAAGTATTTATTACTCCACCACAATCTTATAATAGAATCACTTGGGGAACACTTTATTGTTTCGTTAAAGTCCACAGGAAAACGTTATTTGATAAATGCCACTAAAAATTAAGTAGGGAGTATATACACCAAGTGACAATTAAAATAAGAGAGATTCTATCAAACATTTACAATGTATTCCAAGTATTACTTTTTATTATTCTGAGAATTGCTATGACTGATAAACTAATTTATAAATGATCATATTCACTTAACTTGCTTGAAAGAGAATAAAAGAAGAAAAATATGAAACTTTGCAGGTCATATGATGTTATTATCTATATAATTTTGTATATACCTGCTGGCTCCAAATTATTACTTATTTAATTTTACAAATAATTGAACATGAAAATTAAAGGAAGATTCTTTGCCTAGGTAAAACGCATTCCAATTTGTATTTTACTCTCAAAGAGGTAACCTTTTCCAATCAAAAGTTTTTTTTTTTTTTTATATAGTATTGATGATCTCCTCTTTATTGGTATTATTATACTAATATTATCGGTCCACCAAAAGTCACGGGTGGATTATAGATACAAGAAAAGGCATTTTAAAGGAAAATGAAAGAAATCCCAATGATGTCAAGAAAATAGGAGACCAAAATGGGACTACAATATGCCTAATAATCGTCAAAATAGCACGGCGGCCTAGTCAGTTTTTAGACTGACAATTGAAAAATAGTCAGCATTTCAAAGTCATTAAAAAATAGTCATTATATGCCAGCATAATATGCTAGATTATGAAACTCTTGCGTATAAACTTCCAGCATATTATGCTGGAATCTCACGTGTAAAAGAAAATCAATAATCACCACGCAAGAACCCCACACGTTGTGTAAAGTGCTTCCACCAAAAAGAAGTAATAAAAATTAAAGAAAATCAACAAATTAGTATGCAGGAACCCCACACGTTGTGAGAAATATAATCATATGGTACTTTCTGTACTTTTAAGGTTTCCGTTAAAGATTTAATTTATATACACCAGCATCATTTAAAAAAATTACACTATCATAAAATTTTGAATTGCTATAGTCGATAAATTAGTTGATTTCTGTCTTACTAAATTAGGATTATTATCAGTTAAGAATTCGCCCCTCTACCCTTCTCTATTTTTCCATTTAAGCACAACTCTCCATCTCTATCACCTTAATATTCCTCTTTCATTTTCTTTTTCCTCTACCCCCATTGAACTTCAAGAACTCATAAAGCAAAAGAAAGATGTCGACATTACTAAGCATTCTTTTCTTAGCAATTCTCTTCATTATTGGCCTTATAACAACGATTTTAAATTTCCCAAAAGAAAAATTCAAAACATGGCTTCAATCAATTTCTCAAAAATCTCCACCTCTCCATGAGAAGAGCATAAGTACAACATGTTCAACCTCAAGAACTATGGATGAAAAGAAGGTGAAAAACAGCAGCATCAAAAGCACAAGCTCTAACAATTACAACAAGCTTGAATTGAGAAGTATTTTTGCAACTTTTGACAAGAACAATGATGGTTATATAACCAAGCAAGAATTGAAGTTATCTCTAAAGAATATTGGGATTTTCATGGAAGATAAAGATATCGTTGATATGGTTGATAAAGTTGATTCCAACAAAGATGGTTTAATTGATCTTGATGAGTTCTATCAACTTTGCCACACTTTCTTAGGGATAGAAGCAGTGAATGAAGGAGAAATGAATGAAGAAGAAGAATCAAACAGAGAGAAAGATCTTAAAGATGCTTTTGATGTATTTGATTATGATAAAGATGGATTAATATCAGCAGAAGAATTGAGTAAGATTCTTTCATCTTTAGGGTTGAGACAAGGGAAGAAGTTGGATTATTGTAAGGAGATGATAAGGAAAGTTGATGTGGATGGAGATGGAATGGTGAATTTTGATGAGTTTAAAAAGATGATCAAAGGTTGTGGAACTCTTGTTCCAATTTCTTAAGCAATAATGCAAAATTAATCTTCCTTTTCTATATCTTCTCAAGGCTTTTCAAGAAACCAATATTGAAGAATGACCTTTGTTGCAAAAGCTATACAAATCTCTAGTAGTCTCCATTATGGTTTGGTTAGAAAACCAAAGATATTTGTGTGCATGATAGACATATTTAGTTTCTCTTAAAACTATTTCAAATTAAGCTGCTTCTGTTAGCAATTATATATGACTCTTTCCTCATCTTTTTTAAAGCTGGTGTCCGACCAGCTTGCATGCATCTTGAAAGTTTGCACAAATTTCATCGATTACCAGGCCACACAATATTTCTTTTGTTTTCATGATCTTTCTTGTTTTTTTTCCTTTCTTTTTGTCCTTTTTCACCCCCTGGGTTGGGGGAACCGATGAATATGTAGGAGAAGGATCAGAAGATATGACAACTGACCTGGGTCTCCATTCAAGTATTGATCTAATATGTACACTTGTTCAGCACTTGGTACTAAATATTTACCTGCACACAGCCACACAGTGTTTACATCAAGTCAAACAATTAAGAGTTACAAAATTAAGCGGAAATACATGTCACTTAATCATCGTGTATGCAAGACAAGTGTCTAGCATTTATTCGCTTAATGTAAATGGATAAGAGCAACTACAAAGGATTTGACTCCTGTATCTGCTTGTGATATATCAAAGTGTAGACATAAGAGAACCTTTTAACCTATGCTAAGTTCAAAATTTTATGAACGTTGTGCCCCCAATCCCTTTCCCCTTGTCCAAGAGAAATGGGTCCCTTCTCTTTTATAAGTTAGGCAAAGTAAAAAGGTTCTATTAAATAGCAATCTTTACTTACAGTTTAAAGTGATCATCAGAACACAACTCAGCGACAAGGACAAAACAAGAACTGGGACACTTCAGATTACTTAACAATGAAGAATTTATTAAAGGAAAAAGGTTAATAATTGGAGCGATGGAGGAGTACCCAGAAAGTGACGTACAAAATGAAAAAGAAATCAAATCGAACAAAAAACTAAAGCATAGAAACAATGTGTTAAATAGCTTTTTTATCACTAGGAGAAGCCCGGAAATGTATGAACTTCGATTCTAATTGAAATAACTGGAGAAAAACAAATAAAAATTTGTCTATAAATGATACAAGTACCCTTTCGCTAATAACTGCAGCAGCGCACCTTAATCAAATAAACATAAGTTCTAGCTTAATATTATCGCTAGAAGACACTTGTTACAACTGTGATAATAGGACATTACTGATGCTATCCTACAGATTATGCAGCCAATAAGGACATGATACATACTAAAAGACATCAGGATTGAAACGTCCAGGAATAGAGTTGCTTTGTTGAGCCTGCTTGAGGTGCATTGAGAGAGCATAGTTATTAACCTGACGACATGGAAAGGTAACAATCACTACAGTGTCATACATGAGAAGTGGAATACCAAGAAAATGATGCAAAATCAGATCATAAATCCGGACAAGCAGCTAACTGTCATGGGTGCATTATAGTTCGTAATAGAGCACACTAAAATTGGGTTGACCTATCAGATGGACTAAAAGGGCGCCCTTTCCTTCTACTTAGAATGTATGCACAAGCATATGTGAGTAACACAATTTCAGAAGGGATTTGCATTCCCCAGTTTCATATGAAAAATCATGCTTTTAAAGAAATGAAAGCAGATTTGATCCATTATCCTTTTCCTTTTCTTTAATCCTTTTGATATTTGGTCACAGTGAGGATGAAAAAGAGTGCAAAGCAAATGCAATGAATTTCCAGCCAAGAAATGAACAACAAAAACATCATATCAGATTTTATCTCACCTCAAGGGTTCTAAGCTGCTCCTGGTACTGAGCCACCGACTGCTTCAGCTGATTCAACTCGTGCCCTCTATCCTCGAACTCCTTCTGACGCTCATGCTGGATGGCAACTGCTCGCTTTAATATAGCATTCTCTTGTATAAGAGCTTCAAGCTGTTGCTTCAGCATTATGTTCTCCTGTTATCACTACCAAAATATAAGCCTCTGATTTTTTTATTTACAAAATTCATTAGAATAAGATAGAAGTAACAGACCAGAATAAACAAGATAATTAATCTGGGTTATGGAACTATGCCAGCACACACACCCAACCCTCACAAGCATTGATTTTTATAAGCGAGAGGGGGAGGTGAAGGGGGACATGAAATGGCTAAAAAAAAAAGGAACACTACTAAATATGACAATCACCAAACCCAATCAAACACAAATGCTCAAGATCTAAACATCTCTCCCTTTCACAAGAAGTGTCTCCTTCATGTATATTTCATTCTTATTTTCTTCTTTCCTCTTATGTTTATGCAATTTGTTCTTTGCTACTTCCATTCATCCACCTGCTATTGAGGTCTCCAAAAGCAACTTTGCACTTAATGCCCATAGCAAGTGTAGACATGATAAAGAAAATAAAAAACAATAATATTAGCATTTAAGCACCTTGTGCATCCAATTACAGTAGTGTGAGCAAGTAAAATAGAAAAACAAAGATAAAAGAGATGTCAGGGTGTTTATAATGCGGGGAAAATAAAATTACTGAAAAAGCATTTGGAGACCACCTGCTGGAAATTGCAAGCTGTTGCCTCTGTTGCACGGGCACATATGGACTTCTCCAACACCTCAAGAGCTCGTGAGGCACGGGCTTTAGCATCATCTATATTTGACGCACTCATCATCTCTCTGACAAAGAGCTCCACCCATTCTGTACTGTCCATATGCACTACTTTTGCAGAAGATAAATCCTCTGCAGGTGTGGTCTCACCATTAGTTGTAGCTGTACCTGCAATAAAGTGAAGGAACTATGTCTATGTAAGGGGCAAAGTAGAATTGTGCTAAAAAATCTACATCCAGTTCTTCGGAAAACACCCAGTGAATGTAATAATACAGCTTGACAACATGGTGAATATCACTAACAGCAAGTGGATCAAGAAAGAGACATAAATTACACAATTTTCAGATGCACTCAGCAAAGCAAGGCTGGAAACAGTTTAACTTTATGATAGAAAACCTACTTCGTTAAGTCTTGCCGTCTTTTCATAACAGGGTCAGTTCTGAACCTATTTTGCATGAAAAGAAGCATATGGAGAATGCAGAAGTTGTATCCGTAATTTAACTCAATGATTGTCTGAGGACAAGATCAATATTAAGCGGATTGGCAACAATGTCTTTCAGGAAACAAGAAATTTTTGTTACGGTAAACTAAACAGCTTAGCCCTGACCAAACTTAACTGAATCACGAACAGCGAGTGCGTCAGTCTTGAATTAACACTTGATTCCCATATTGACTTGTCAAACTTTTTAGTTGAATCACAAGCATAAATAAGGTACTTTCATTGTTTAGTGTCCTATATAGTTGACACAATATTACTAGGCCCTTCACCATGACCGAAATAAAAGTAATTGAGTAATGTCTGTACAAACTAATATAAGGAATATGCATCAAAGGAAGAAAGTTAAGGACGTGAAGTTATCACACGAAGGGCCATGTTATTAGACACTTCAATAGTTAGTTGGGTTAAGATTTATAAAGTGGAGGTTCGTTTGCACATAAATCAAGGAGCAGACAAACCTCCACGAACTATATCAAGCAATAATACAAGTTTGGAATTCACAGAACAATAGCAAGATAACGAGTCAATAATATGGACCACAAGTGACCACATGCTCAATTTAAAGAGCACAAAAACCACCAATTGTGAAGCATACTTAAACATTCACAATTGGAACATTTCCAAAACTGATAAAACGTTATAAAGCAGAAGTAGGTGAGCTGACAGGACGCTGACAAACATTTGGAAAACTGGAAAATCAATAAAGATAATCAGGTGGGCTTAAGCAGGAGCAGAGTTTAAGACAGATGAATGATGACATCACATGGATCTGCTGAGTATTACAAAAAGATCAACGGTAAGGCGTAGTACAATGAGTAAGAAGTTGAGAATTTTTTACACGTAGGTTTGACAAAATGATCTCAGTCAAGGCAACGGCCAAAAAGGGGCAAGAACATACCATCAATCAAAAACAAACAAACAAAATTCAACGTGCACCTTGAGTAAAAAACTGGCTGCTGGAATCCTGGGTAGCATTGGAGCTTCCCGCCACAGACCTCGGATTCTCACCAGATCCCAAGCGAAGCTCATTTAGGCTTTTGATAGCAGAATCTAGATCATCACCGCATTCTTCAAGTGCTCTCTCAACCCACTGAAAAATCAAGTCTCTAGGTTAAGTTTTCTCTTTTTAAGGTAAATCAAGAAAATTGTATCAAGTACTCAAGATATCTAATGTGAATAAATGCTTTCATGCCCAAAATCGACAACCTAGACATGGAAATTCTTTTAAATGAAAAAACAAATGTTAGCTTCGTCCACGATATCACAAGATGACAGTTATCAGAGTGTGTACTATTTCTGAATCACAGAATCAATAGGAACAGAGCGCAGATTCTAAATCCTACACCGCATGTCATTAAAACAAATGAAGAGTGGAATTTTGAATCTGCATCTATGAGGGATCAACTTAAGTAAAATTAACTCCACCAGTAGGAAACAAAAGAAACAACCTGTTTTTTCATTTGTGGTTATCTTTCCTTCTTTTTTCGTAACGTAACGAGGCTTTAAATTAGCTAAAAAGTTAACAGACACATTATATATGATATGCATCGAACGGAGCACTTTTTCAGTTCTTTTAAAGTAGAAAAGGAAATTTGGCATTTTGTACTTAATGGGTTCCACAATGTTTTCAGATGCTCAAAATCCTTGTTATGTTACAAGAGCAAAACATGACATGTGTTCTCAAAGAAACACTGTTTTTTTTTAACCTCATAATCTTTAATTGGTTTGGTACCCTCATAAAATTTCCATCTTTCTTTCTTCTTTAGTCCACACCTAAAATTGGTGGATTTCAGGAATTCATTAATTCTAAAACACTTTAAAGTTGAAAGAATCTGATGACACAAGTTGTGCCAAGATTCTTTTTATTCTAGACAGTGAATCAATTATGCTAGCACCAAGTTCCTACAGTTCAAATTAGCAATATTGAGTGATACATCTCCAACTTAAAACTACAAACAGCGTATGAAAAACAATGTTTAAGACAATTATGCGGTTCAAAGTTGTATGTTTAAATAGTTCTCCAAACAGATAATAGTATGCAAATCTTCATCCAGTAAAATCAGTATACTCAGCACATTTCCATTTCCCACTCAAGTAAACAGCGTATGAAAGACAATGTTTAAGACAATTATGCGGTTCAAGTTGTATGTTTAAATAGTTCTCCAAACAGATAATAGTATGCAAATCTTCATCCAGTAAAATCAGTATACTCAGCACATTTCCATTTCCCACTCAAGTAAACAGCGTATGAAAGACAATGTTTAAGACAATTATGCGGTTCAAGTTGTATGTTTAAATAGTTCTCCAAACAGATAATAGTATGCAAATCTTCATCCAGTAAAATCAGTATACTCAGCACATTTCAATTTCCCACTCAAGTTATAACATCATCAGAATACATTAATAAACCTACGAGTTCCTATCCCACTCAAAAGATACTTCTACATCCCAAAACAACTAAATTAAGGACGTAGAAAGCATTTTTTAGCCAACAGAGCTTGTCCAATACTTTGTTTTTATAGAGACAAGTCCAATACCTTTTTTGAAAACATTGTTTGTCTAATAGCTAAACTAACAATGATAAATCAAGCATATTTTTCTTCATCATCAAGCTTTATCCAATAATTAAACAATAAAAATTGATGATTTTTACAGCTAAAAATCCCGAAACAATATGAAACACCAAACAAATTACACCGAAATTGCAACACAATAAAAAAAATTGATTGAAACAATTGAAAACAAGAAGAGCTAAACCTGTTTGTCCATATCAGGAAAGAGCATGAGAAGATGATCGAGTGCAGACGACGACGAAACCGAAGAACCGGAGAAAATATTAACAGCAGAAAATGAATGATCGGAATCAAAATGCGACCTCGCCGGAGAAAAAGACGAAGAGAAACAGCGAATTCTTTTCGGAACCGGCGGCGAAGACGACGACGGCGAAGACTGAAAATCCTCAAAAAAATAGTTCGATCTCTTCCCGCACAATATAGCAGCAGCAGACATGTTTTTCCTTTTTCAGATTTCTACTCTGAGTCGGAACAACAACAATTCCTCTTTCACCGTTCCGAACATGCAGATTTATATATATTTGAGAAAAAAATTACTCAAATATTTTTAATATATTTGATAATTTAATAGGTTACTATTTGGGGCGTTTGGACATAAGAATTGTAAAAAAAATTTAAAAAAAAGTGAATTTTTTTTTCAAGTTAAAATATATTTGAAAATTAGAGTTATGTTTGGACATGAATATAATTTTGGGTTGTTTTTGAAGTTTTGTGAGTAATGTGAGTGAAAATTTTAAAAAACTGCTTTTTGGAATTTTTTAAATTTTCGAAAAATTTCAAAATATATTTTCAACGCTAATTTTGGAAAAAAGAAAAAAAATTCGGAAAAAAATAAAAAAAATTCTTATGTCCAAACGGGCTCTTAAAGTCATCTAAACACAAAAATATGGTTGAATTTCTAAAAAATTACGTGATTATATGTCCGTTTGTATACTAACCTATTTGAATGGATATGGAATTTAAGCATATAAAAAAAATTGAACTCAAATGAGTATATATATACCGTTTTTAAATATAAATTTTTTATACTAATTAAAAAAAATTAAGTTTATACAAACTGAAACGGATGAGTATTATACTAAGGGTGTAGTGTGGGCCGGGCCCGGGACTAAACGGGTCTCATGGGCCGGTCCTAAGTGGGCCCGGGCTTCGTGGGTTGATCCTAGGAATTTTTACCTCCTACAGCAAAGGTTAACACTTTATTTATTTTAAATAAATATCATTTAAAAAAATTATATTCTATAGATACCTTTTAATATTTATGACAAAATATCTAATTTTGATTACCTCCTACCTCTAAGCCACTAAATACGCTATTCAGTTACACTATTTTCTTTCTCTCTCTATTTTGATACATACCATTCTCTTCCCACATTCCCTGAAAATACGATGCTCAATCTAATTCACTTCTCTCGACCGCACCACCTCTTCTCTCCTTCCTCCTCCTTCCGCCGCCACTTCTGCCGTTCACCTCGGTCAAGCCTAGGGTTTACACGAGTTCTAGTAGATCAACAACAGTAGTGTTTACGTTGAAAAGGAAATATACAACAACAGTAGTGTTACACGAGTTCTAGTAGATCAATTCAGCCTAACTCGGTCAAGCCTAGGGTTTTTCCATTCTTTTCATTTGTTCTAATAAGTTACAGGGATATTCGGTGAAGAGAAAGAGAGAGAGAAAGGCGAAAGAGTTGAGGGTTTTTGGTCGCCGGCGGATTCGCCGAAAATTAGGGTTTGGTCTTGAACAAAGACGACGGAGTTTGGGGCTGAGCAACTTGATTTTATGTTAATATATTTTCAACGTATCACGCTGTATTTTTCATGTATTTCATTGTATTCATTGTCTTTTCTTCATTGTAATTTAATGTATCTATGTATTCCATGTATTTTATTGTATTCACTATCTTTTTTTCATTGTATTTCAATATATCCCGCTGTATTCTATGTATTTCATTGTATTCACTGTCTTGCTATATGCCATGAATATATTCATATATTTTTTTTAATTAATATAATTTATGTATTCAGATGTATTATATAATTTTTTTAAATATTGCTATATTTTTGGGGTATTTTTCGGTTGAGAATCTTTTTTATAACTGGAAATACAAAATTTGTGTGTTAAAATTGAGTTTGTTGAGTTATATTAGGAGTCTATTATGTTAATTGATTCACTTTTCATTTAAAAACAGCGTCATCCCCTATTTCACGCTGTGAATACAGTCGAATACAATAATCTGTCCAGCTGTAATCCCATATTTCACGCCATGAATGTTACACCTCCTTTTTACGCACCCGCGAGGGCGCAGGGGAGTTTTCCAATTAAAGGACAATCGAAACGGGATTAGTTTATTTATTTCAGAGTCGCCACTTGGGA